GACTCTAAGGTCAGAAGAAGAGACTTTCAGGTCAATGACCTCATTTTAAAGGAAGTCTTTCTCGGTACTAGGGAACCAAGTGTGGCAGTTTTAGGACCGAACTAGGAAGGCCCATACTGCGTCGCCAAAGTGATAAGGTCAGGGACTTATCATCTCAAAAGTTTGAATGGTTTCAAAGTACCGCGAGCTTGTAATGCGGAACATCTTCAACCATATTATCAGTAATTCCGAACTCATCTTTTCCTTATAAAGTATTTTTAATCCTTATAAATAAAAGAATTACCTTTCCAAGTGTATAATTCTGTTCACATAGACTTGTTATAATTCTGTTCGCATAGACTTGTGCCAATGTTATTATAAACAGTTAGAATACGATCTCATGTATAACATAGGGTACGGAAATTATAAGTACTCATGAAAGATTAAAAAAGATATGTATTTATTCATTAATAAAAGGGGGAAGTACATGAGCCAGCAGGAAAAGATTCCAAAAATAAAAGCAATCATTGGCCTTCATCACCAATTCCCGGAGGCATGACCTCATCGTCCTCAGGCCGATCACCAATCATCTGGCTAGCTGTGGGCTCCTCGGGGACATACCCTGAAGGCTCTCCCTGGTCAGGTCCTTGAGCGGTCCCCACTGTATTCTCATCATCAAGCCGCACCATAGATTTAAGAATTTCTTGGTATTCCTCCAGGAGGTCAGATATATCCCTTTTAGGATTCTTCAGCCGTAAGGCATAGATCGACTCAATTGCCCATTCAGCAGCCTTTGACTTGATCTCCGCCCCTTGAGGTTGTATCTCTTTAGTCAGCGAAGTGACTCTTCCCTGACTGGCTTGGAGTTTGGCCTCAAGCGCCCACCTTTGCTTCTCAAATGCCTCCCACAGTTCACCCCTTTCTCGCTCTGCTCATAAGGCCTGCTCGGAGGTCGTTTTAAGCTCCTGGTCTTTCTCGCCAGCCTCCTTAGTGAGTCTGGCCACTGTCCTCTGGAGCTCTTTTATCTCTTCTCCGTGCCTCTCTAGCTCGGCCTTCTAAAAATCCACCGTTCGAAGAGTGGCATTCCTTTCATTCAGGTACTGGTTCGTCGAAGCGGTGGATAATTCCTTCTCTACCTCAGTGGCTTCTAAGTCCTACATAAGCCACGCTTCTCTTCCCTCAGTGTGACCTCCCCCTCGGTAACTCCCAGTCGGACCTTTTGTAGGGACAATTGCATGGAGAGCAGAGCCTGTGAACAAAAAAGAGTAACAAGTTAGCTTCCTTGCTATTAGAAAAGATAAATGTAAAGTCCTCGCCGAGGATAGCTCGTTCTACCTTGCTCAAGTGTTGGATGGATGTGGACATCAGTTCCACATGATTGGAATCCACAAACTACTCGAATGCCTCTGTGAGTCCGCATTCCAACAATGTAAAAACCATCGACTGCAGATGATCCAGAAGTTGTCCCATCGAATCCAGAACTAGAGTGTCCGTGCCCATGCCTCCAACAAGAGTCTTGTCACCTGCCGATTCCTTGCCGGGTCTCCTCCCAGGGTCTGCGACCTTGCTCTGCCCTGCTCACGGTGCTCCCGGAGCAGAATGCTTGGTAGGGCTGTGACCTCTCGGGCTGGACACCCAGGTCCTCCAGTTCAGACTCTAACTCTTTGGTCTGAATTTGCCTCCTCTTCTTGGGCCGTTGGGCCGTTGTCTTCTACCTCGGACGAACAGTCAAAGGCTAGGAGGTGCTCGTAGGTCAGATTGGAGCACCAACCGAAGGCTGAGAAGCCCTAGTAGGTCATATCGGAGCTCTCGATGTTGCCCCTTCGGCAGGGGAATCGCTGGGAGCAGCTCCAGTCGGTCTAGTGGCACCCATTCGAGGGAAAGTGAACTGCCTTGGTCGTGGCGATTTGGGCACCTTTGGAGGCATGGGTGCTACACGTGAACGTTGTTAGTAAAATAGTTCGCTGCATGCACAATAAAAAAATAAACCCAGGTTACGAAGCTTACTCGGTGGGGGCTCTAGGGTCCCTTCTGAGTTGAAGAAACCGTATTTCCACAAGTTTGCAGTTGTCATAAGCAATCTAGCATCGCGACTTTCTTCAGCCAGAAAGCCGAAGGCAGTAATCCTATCCGGATCCTCGAGGAGCTCTAAACTGGTCGTTTTGTTAACTATAAAGAAAGAGCTCGTTAGCAAAGACCAAAAGAGTTTGCAAATTCATAAAAAAGGAAACCCTACTTGGATCCTAGAAAAGGCAAATGTCATTGTGACGAAAGAAAAAGAACTTCATCTTGTGTGCTCCTACATTTCTCGGGTAACTGTGTATGCCTACTTCGATGGTAGTTCGCTTAGAAAGATAGTAAGAATCCTTGTCCTTACTTTTCTTCAGAATGTACGAGCAACCGAGCTCCACTGTAGTTAGCTCGCCCGATCCGCTCTCGCTACAAGCGATGTACATAGCCACGTCTGTCATGTACATGTTTGGCATGAGCTAAAGTGGTGCGATCCCAAAATAATTGAGGACCGACCTGACAAAAGGGTGGAAGGCGATCAACCCTCCACTCTTGAATATATTCTCGGAGATCGCAACCAGCTCCCATGGCAGATTCCAAGCTACACGTGTCCTATCTCGGAAGACATCTACGCGGAGAGCGTATTGGTCTACTATCTTTTCAAGATCCTCGACAGTCATCACCAACAGGATCTCTTTAGGGGGACCCACAGGAGGATCCTACGCAAGCGAGCTGGTCCCTTCCTCGGCTCTGGTCGTTGGGGGGTCCATTCTACTGTGGTATGCAAAAGCGACAAGCAGGGAATCGTTCAGTCCTCGTACTCTATTTTGTACGATGTCGTAGATCAACAAAGAAGAGTGACCGTCATGCTTCAAGAAACCAAATCGTTGTTCTCTTCCGTTGAAAAACTCAAGCGACGGCACATTCTCCCTCTTCCACATTAAATGAGCCCATGTTCGTATTTAATGCTCTGATAAGGAATGTTGTTTCAACATGGCTTGTATTTAATGCACATGGCTAGCACTTATTGCGCATAAGATGCATCTGTCAGAACAAAAGGTATTTCATTAAATGTATCCGCTACAAAAATGCAACGGATAACACCTAAAGAGGTCGTTACATAGAACACTTCGTCTTGTCAGTCATGAAGCGACATGACTTTTCGATCCTATCCCATGTCAGTCGCAAAGTGACATGACTCTCAATGTGTATCAAATCCGAAGCAACACGATCCCTTATCTTCTGTAAAAATTCCAAGTGTAATCAGGTCGTGGACTATGAAAGATCAAAATCATGGCGCTGATATGGTCTAAGAGCAGGTCGCTTATCCTTAAAATAATGGCCATCTCAGGTCATATGTATAAAAGTGTTACCTCGACCTCTTTGCAATAAGGTCGGGTCGACCAGAATCTCTCCAAAAGCGCCAAGTCACGACATAATATGTAGTTTCCGAGGTTTGATTCTCAAACCTTAAAAACTAGGGGACTTCAGTTATGCCTGAAAAAGTAGGGCTGACGTGGAGCCTAGTCAGCATAAGTGGTCAGAGCTTAGATATAACCCGCAACCATCCAGGTGCAGCCACATCGCATGATAACATGAGCAACATGCTTTTGTCAGTGCAGTGGGTGCGCCAGACCAGCAAAAGGCTGGAAAAGGTCCACGTGTCCAATCCCCGCACAAATCACGTAAATCGCTCTAGTAAGTGGGCAACAGGATGTAAAGAAGGATTTGCATGGAAGTTTGACAAACTCTCAGATCTAGTAATCATTACCTTAACCCATCCCACTATAAATAGAGGGCTCCTCTCTCGTTTGTGGGATTGGCTAATTTCTCTCTGGAATAAGCATACACACTCTCTCTCATTCTCTCTCTCTTTCTCTCATTCCCTCTCTCTTTTGTAACTTCTTGTAAGTCAGCTTGCTGAATGCGACCTGATCTCAAACACATTAATACAATACCAGTGGACGTAGGATTTGCTTACTTGAGCATCCGAACCACTTCAAACATTGTTCTTCTTCTTCTATCCACTTCAATACCCTCATTATTTCTATACACGTATGTTATCTAAGTTAGCTTAACATTTCCCACATGTGTTTGGTTGGTGTCAAAATCACGCATCAACACCTAACGTAGTGGACCAAACTTTTAGCTTTAAACTCTAATGATTCATCTAGTCATGCCATTATTTATTTTCTAAAGATTTTGTTCCATTATTTTCTCGAAATAGGTGTAACTTCTATCAGTGCAAAGGGTGCGCCAGACTAGCAAAAGGTTGGAGAAGGTCCACGTGTCCAATCTCTGCACAAATCGTGTAAATCGATCTAGTAGGTGGGCAACGGGACGTAAAGAAGGATTTACATGGAAGTCTGACCAACTCCTAGATCTAGTAATCATTACCTTAACGCATCCCACTATAAATAGAGGGCTCCTCTCTCGTTTGTGGGATTGGCTAATTTCTCTTTGGAATAAGCATACACACACACTCTCTCCCTCATTCTCTCTCTCTTTTGTAACTTCTTCTAAGTTAGCTTGCTGAACGCGACCTGATCTCAAACACATTAATACAATACCAGTGGACGTAGGATTTGCTTACTTAAGCATTCAAACCACTTCAAACATTGTTCTTCTTCTTCTATCCAATTCAATACCCTCATTATTTCTATACACGTATGTTATCTGAGTCGGCTCAGCATTTCCCACATGCGTTTGATTGGTGTCAAAATCACGCATCAACACCTAACGTGGTGGACCAAACGTTTAGCTTTAAACACTAATGATTCATCTAGTCATGCCACAATTTATTTTCTAAAGATTTTGTTCCATTATTTTCTCGAAATAGGTGTAACACTTTATCAAAGATTTGTAGAAAGAAGCATGGTCACCTTTCTTTTCTAAGATTTTAGTTTGAATTGATTCCAATGTATATTTATAATTAAGAAGGAAATTATATATTTATAGAATATTGAAGAATAAATTAATCTTAAATTTGTTTCTATTTATCTGACATTCAGTCTGTAAAAGCGCTTTCTTCTTACGCGCCAATGGATTCTGTTTCTACTGTGAATGAGGAAGCTGCATCAGGCACCAGATGCGAATTTAATCAACGTTTGCACAAAGCTGCAGCAAAAGGTGATATCCAACCGTTCACGGAAAACAATCAACGTCTTGATCTCATAGTAACACCAATTAAGAATACAATCTTGCATATTCACATCATATCTCCAATCCGAACCCCAAAATCAACAGAGTTCGTGACACAAATACTTGACAAATGTTCATCACTTCTACTACAAGTGAATGCAAATGGGGATACACCACTACATGTTGCGGCAAGATATGGGCATTCTGGTATAGTGAAAGTTCTTATCGAACGCGCAAAAAGTCAAAATGATGATTTAGAAAGTGGGCTAGGAGCAGAAGGTTCCAAGCAGCTGATGCTGAGGATGAGCAACAAGAAGGGAAATTCGGCCTTGCATGAGGCAGTGCGGAATGACCACATCGATGTGGTGAAAATCTTAACCAAAGAAGATCAAGAGTTTTCGCATTATGCAAATGATTTGGGCGAAACTCCGCTTTTCATTGCTGCTGAGAGAGGATGTCTCTTGTCATTGACTAAAATATTAAAAAGATGCAAGTCAGCCGCCCCCGAAGGCCCCTATGGAAGGACTGCTTTGCATGTTGCAGCCATGAAGTACCATCTAGGTAATTCCTTATCTATATTTTATTCAACCTGGAAAGCTGAAAATCTCTATTGTATGAATTTATTGGTTTATAGTCCATTAATTTTTACTACAAAATCGGAAACAGATGACTAATACCTTCCTAGTTAATCGTGTTTGTCTTCTTGCCATACCATAAATCCAAATAGTCAATAAGTCAATTAACAGACTAACAGTCAAGCAAGTCAACAGGTCAACAAGTTTTATATTTTAACATCCTGCCTTGAATTAGACCTCTTCTGACTTCAGTGCAGTTCAGCTCTTTCTAATCACTTTGTATTCTAATATCCTGCCGTAAATTGAAGTTATCTGACTGCAGTACACTAACTTCACTGCCTGCAATACACTTCAGCTTCCTTGATAATTGCATATCACAACATCCTGCCTTAAACTGAATCTCTATAATTTGGCACTAATAGTAATTCCATATCCTTTACACTTGTTATTACAAATGAAAACATCAGAACTGTTCAGCATCTTCAAAATATTATCAGAAGATAACTTTGCAATGTCCCCAATAGAGGTACCAAAATAGTGAAAGCAAGAGCAAAGAAATTTAACCAAACTGGAACAGCTGCAAATTTCTTCACAGTATAGGCAGCAATCTGTACAACTACACACATCCAAGATAAAGTGCAATGCAGATAGGAGCAAATTTCTTCATAGTACAGGCAGCAATTTGTACAAACCACACACCTCCAAAAAGTGCAATGTAGATAGCAAGCAGCAATCTGTATACCTCCAAAGACTTTCAAAGTATAATGCAAACATTATGCAGGTAGTATTCTGCACAATTTAACCAACTAACCAACTGCATAACTCCAACTAAACCAGCTACTTAATATCAAGATGCAACTAGCAATTTATACAACTTCAAAACTTTTCAGAATATAGGGTAGACATCATGCGGGTAGCAGACTTCACAATAGAACAGCTCAGATAATCAAGTTACTGAACAGGAGCAGAAATAGAAGCTTTTATAGTGAGTTTGTCTCTTAATTCAGCAAACCCGGATACTGACAAAACCTTAGTAAAGATGTTAGCCTTTTGATACTCGGTTGGCACATATTGAACTTTAAGATTATTGGAAGTAACTTGCTCTCTTACATAGTATGCATAATGTCACGACCAGCTTGCTTGGTGACTCAAGTGTGCTGCACGTTACTTAGTGGCTAAGTATACTTCATAGCTAAGTAAACTTAATGGCAAAGGAACTTTAAGGATAAGCATTATCCATTCCCAAGGTTGCCACCTAATGTTGCTTAAGGATTAAGTATACAATGTATCTAGTTATATTCTTTGAGGAGGTTTAGCCTATAAATAGCCGACTCCTCTTTGTAAAATTCATAAGTGGCAATCCTTCAATATAGAGTTTACATTTTCTCTACACTTATCTCTTTCATTTGCATACTTGTAGTCTTTGAGTTTATGTGAGTGTTAGGCTGCTTAACTCATTTTCTAAGTGTTAAGGCCGCACGAATTTAGGAAAGAAGTTAAGTGTGTGACAAGTGCTATCAGAGCCAGGTTGCCATAACCTCGGTATTTGATGGCAAAAGATACTGTCATTTCAACAAAGGGATCCAAGACGGCGGAGATGGAGACTTCCCAAGAACATGGTCGTTCAGAGAGAGTCGACCCTAACCCCAACCCCTCAAGGCAGAGAGGTAGGTCCAAAGACTTTATTTTCAGTTTTGACTCACGCCTATCTCGTGTAGAAGAAAGGGTGAGCACACAGTCGGAAGAGCTAGATCATCGGGTGGATGATCTAGAGACGGAGGTTACCGAAACCCACACTATCGTGAAAGCCATGTTGCTTCAATTGGAGGAGTCGTTAAGGGCCGAAATGGGGAAAATCCGTGAGGAGTTAATAGGGGAGCTTGCCAACACCTGTCATGTGTTCCAAACAGAAGTCAACAGCACCCTTGTTCGCTTAGATGAGGTGCAAGCTGATTTAGCGAGATGTAAGCACACCATGGTTACAAGGACCGGCAACAACATCATTGAAAGCCAGAGGATCGACGTCCCAAGGCCTAAAACCTTTGGTGGATCACACAAGGCACAAGAAGTTGACAACTTCTTGTGGGGACTAGACAAGTATTTTAGGGCTGTAGACGTCACGGAGGAAAGCTCTAGGATTGAAACTGCAGTCCTCTATCTCATGGACACCACAAGGCTGTGATGGAGGAGAAGAAAATGAGACATCGAAAAAGGTATCTACACTATCTCTAGCTTTGATGATTTTAAGAAAGAGCTTAGGCGACAGTTTTACCCGAAGAATGCTGAAGATGAGGCAAGAGCTCACTTGCGAAGGATCAAGCAAACAAGGACGATCCGTGATTACATCAAGGACTTCACCGACTTGATACTGGAGATCCCGGGATGTCCGACAAGGACTCGCTCTTAAACTTTATGGATGGGTTGCAATCATGGGTGAAAACGGAGCTAAGGTGTCAAGGAGTACAAGACCTTGCCATGGCCATAGCAGTTGCTGAAAGTTTGATTGATTATAGCAACCAAAAAGAGCACACAGGCAAATCCAAAGACAAGAAGGGTGGCTTTGTTAAAGGTGCGGGAGACAAGGGGCAATCTAAAGAGAGTAACCGGGACACCCGCCAAGACAACTCCTCATCCAAGGGTAAGGACAAGGGCAAACGTTGGGACAAGGGCTCCAACAAACCCCACAGCAATTGCTTCATTTGCAATGGGCTTCATTGGGTGAAAGACTATCAAGAGAAGAAAGCTCTCACTTCCCTCATAGCCAAGCATCAAGAGGGCAAGCAAGCCAAAAGTAGTAGCGATGAGGCACATGTGGGATCAATGCAACTTCTTAATGGGATCCTGTCTGCACCAAAAACCCAAGCCAAAAGGTTGCTCTATGTTGATATGGCCATCAATGGTAAGGCCACCAAAGCCATGGTAGATACGGGAGCTTCGCACAACTTTGTTTCAGTAAGTGAAGCATGCCGGCTAGGCCTCAAGGCTTCAGGAGGTGGAGGCACAATCAAGGTAGTCAACTCAGCGGCTCAACCAATACATGGAGTGGCTTGACATGTCAAAACCATAATGGAAACTTGCTCCGGCTACATAGATTTCTCAGTTGCACCAATGGATGATTACCAAGTTGTCCTCGACTTAGAGTTTATGGAACAAGTCAAGACATTTCCCTTGCCGTCAACCAACACTATGTGCATCATGGGTGGGGAACAAGCTTATGTGTTGCCTACTAGCCACTCTACCAAGCCGGAGACAACAGTGCTCTCAGCCATGCAATTCAAGAAAGGCATCAAGAAGAAAGAGGAAAGCTACTTGGCCATCCTCAAGCAGTATGACGACAAAGAACCAATCCCACCAGAGGCAATGCCCTGGGAGGTAGTACAAGTACTCAAAGAGTTTGTTGATGTCTCACCAAACGAGCTGCCAAAGGAACTACCACCTAGAAGGGAGGTAGATCATCAGATTAAGCTAGAACTAGGCGCCAAGTTACCTACCAAGGGTCCTTACCATATGGCACCATCAGAGCTAGCGGAACTAAGGAGATAGTTGTAGGAACTACTAGATGCAGGGTTCATCAAGTCCTCTAAAGCTCCCTATGGCCCACCAGTTTTGTTTCAAAGGAAGAAAGATGGTTCCTTGCGCATGTGCATAGACTACCGAGCACTCAACAAGGTATCAGTGAAAAATAGCTATCCCATTCCTTTGATTGCCGATCTTTTTGATCAGTTGAGGCATGCCCACTACTTTACCAAGCCAGATCTATGGTCAGGTTACTACCAAGTGCGTATAGCTGAAGGCGACGAGCCAAAGACCACTTGTGTTACAAGTTATAGGTCTTATGAGTTTTTAGTTATGCCATTTGGTCTAAAAAATGCATCAGCTACTTTTTGTACTTTGATGAATAAGATATTCCACCCATACCTCGACGTTTGTGGTCGTCTACCTAGATGACATAGTAGTGTCTAGCAAAACCTGGGAGGAGCATGTGCACCACCTAAAGGAAGTGTTCCAAGTCTTGCGGGACAACAAGTTATACATCAAGAAGGAGAAATGCTCTTTTGCCAAGCCGAAGGTAATGTTTTTGGGTCACAAGATCAAGGATGGGTAGCTTATGATGGAAGATGACAAAGTGCGGGCCATTCAAGAGTGGGAAACACCCACCAAAGTGCCAGAATTACGATCCTTCCTTGGATTAGTAAACATACAATTCTAAATAGGAATAGAATTATGAGAGTCCAATTAGGAATTCAAATATGAATCCTATTAGGAATAGAATATCCCATATACTACCTATAAGTATAGGGGTGAGAATCAATTCAAGGTTATGAGAGAATGAGAGAATGTGAGAACAAGTGGTATTAGAGCTTTAAGTTGTGACCTAAAGAGATAAGTTATGTCGAGATGGTGGATGCACATAAGATACGAACTACAACGGGCTCAAGTTGTAGGTGGAGTGGTTCTGAAATATTTGAAAGGTACTAAAGATTTAGCATTATGCTTTAGGAAGTCAGACTTAGAGCTACAAGGTTATGTGGATACTGATATGGCTGGTGACATTGATAATTGCCAGAGTACCACAGGTTTTGTCTTTACGTTAGGTGGTACAGCAGTCAGTTGGGTTTCAAAGTTATAGAAGATTGTTACTCTTTCTACTACAGAGACAGAGTATGTTGCTATGATAGAAGTTAGTAAGGAGCTAATATAGTTACAACGGTCCCTAGAAGATTTCGGTCAGAATTATGAGAGGGGCGCTTTTTATTGTGATAGGCAAAGTACAATTCACTTGGTAAAGAACCCAGTCTACCATGCTAGGACAAAACACATAGAAGTTCGTTACCATTTCATACGCTCAGTTTTGGAAGAATGAGTTATAGCTCTCGAGAAGATTGAAGGGAGTAAAAATATAGCTAATATGTTTATGAAGGTGGTTACCATTGAGAAATTGAAGTTGTTTATAACTTCAGTTGGACTTCTCGCTTGAAGAAAGAAAAGTTGATGCCGCTGCTGATGGAAGTGAAGAATTGAAGATATGTTGAACTAGTCTCCAAGTGGGAGATTGTTGAGATTGTGGAGCCAAATTCAAGCCAAATTAGAGTTGGATTAGGACATAGGTTTTCCTAATTTGTGTTTAAGTAGAATTGTTTTCTTTTAGGAATACAATTGGGAATATGATTATAATTGTATTAGAAATTAAAATATAATTCCTATTAGGATATGGGTTTGAGTCATATTAGGAATAGTATCCCATATAATACCTATAAAAAGGGGTTAAGTGCTAGAGTTATACATCACAAATTGAACAGAAGGCAAAGCTACAATTAGAGAGTGAGAGCCACCAAATAGGTTCTAGTGAGTGAGCCAATTTGTGAGGCTTGTGAGAGATTTTTGTAATTTATTTTCTTCTTCTTTATAGTGAAATTCCGCAGCGGCAAACTAGACATAGGTCTCATATGGAGAGTGAACCACTATAAATCTTGTGTTTGTGTATGTGGTTATTTGTTTGTCCTTTGTTCGCATTATTTTTTCGCTTTTAGGGATTTAGGATTTACTAGTATTCAATTAACTCCCCTTAACAACTGGTATCAGAGCTCTAAGTTGTGACCTAAGGAGATAAGTTATTTTGAGATGGTGGATGCACATAATAGACAAACTACAAAGGGTTCAAGTTGTAGGTGGAGTGGTCCTCAAATCTTAACAGCAAAATTTGGCATTGTTACTTTGCAACCTAGATGCTAGCAAAGTTGGACAAGTTTACTCTATGACTTGGATGTCGTGATGGTGGAGCACTATCTTCGTCATGTTCATCGTTGTAATGGAAAACTCCTGTTCATCGCTGTGATGGAAAACTCACCAAGGTGTTGATTGTTGGGATATTGTGGCTTGTTTTCCTATTTGTTCCCATGAAAATTGTATGTCTTTAGGAAAACTCTTTAGTAAAGAGTACTATTTTAAATAGGAATAGAATTATGAGAGTTCAATTAAGAATTGAAATATGAATCTTATTAGGAATAGAATATCCCATAATCTACCTATAAATATAGGGGTGAGAACCAATTCAAGGTTACGAGAGAATGAGGAAATGTGAGAATACAGGGTATTTGATGTAAGGGTTATTAAACACCATGAGGAGAGTGTCTTAGAAACTAGAATTGTTTCCACTCTAGGTACTGGGTTGAGCGTGGTTAGAAACTAGGATGTTTCCACTTTGATTTATGTACTAGGTTTATGGTGTTGTGTACTCTTATATATTGTGTTCATGAAACTATAATAGATTTCTCTCATCCGTGGATGTAGGCGAGTTATGCTGAACTATGTAAATATTGTGTCTCTTTGTGTAGTGTGATTTTGTTCTTATGTTATTCATCTCGAATGCATGTTTTTTGCTACGTGATCTCCTAAGACAAAAGGTACCAGAGTACGGGTAGACCCACGAGTACAGTACTCATTTTGTTAGGTCTAGACTCCACTTTCATCAACTTCTTGAGTCTTATACTTATGGATTGAACAAATTAGCATGATGAGATTCATAAGCATCATTTTACAAATTATACCTTACCTCAAGGACTTTCAAATTTTTATTCTTCTTATGATGTTTTTTCATTTGAGGAGTTTTTCGCCTTTATCTTTTGAAGAAATTGTTACATTTTATTCTTTTTAAAGAAATATTTGTTTTTGTTTTTGTTTTGTTTTTTTTTTTTTTTTTTTTTTTTTTTTTGTTTTTTTTGGGGTAAAAATTGGCATTAGATCTTGAAAGGAACTTGTTATATTTTCCAACTATGATGCACCAAAATCATCATATCTTTTCTCTTGAAAATTTGGCATAAAAAGTGGAAAAAAAAATAATTTAATATTTGCACTATGCATGGTATTATTCTTTTGATCAATGATTTTGCATCTATCAAAAGAGATTGAATAACTCTTTGTATATTATTTCACCTTCACTAAGAGGTTTTGAGTCAAATTAGGGACATAAAACATCACTAATAAGCTTTAGTTACCTCTTTGAGTGTACAATGCAATTGTACTTTTACCTTTTAACAGTTAGTAGCTTCCTATCACCAATTTACTTTAGAATAAAAGTTTTGATCAAATTCTATGAAATTGTTGCCATTTCCAGTCATATGCTACAAACACTATTCAAGTACCATATATTCGTTGGTTTGGCAATGATAGCATTCTTGCATGAATAGAATAAATACTCTTCACTTTCTTTCTTTTTTAATTATGAAATTGACCTCGTTGTGCTTTTTATTTTAATACCAGCAGTCTATTTGAGAATGACTAGGGATACCACAGCGTTTGCATATTGATTTTTTTGCAAATAATGCCAGAATATGTCATATGTAGGCTATAGTACAATATGATACCACTTGTAGGAATAATTTCACAACGGAAGATAATTTTACAGCGAATTTTATTGATAATATTTGAATCTAGTATTTCAGAATTTTACTGACCTCATGGGCTAGCCTCTTTTGTATTTTGGCTTTTTTTTTTTTTAATTATTTAAGAATCACTAGGTATTTATATATAGGTTCTTAATCCTAGTTACATCCATGCATTTTCCTAAACTTTAGTGGCTTAGTTTCCCGATCGTATCAACTTTCCTATATCTGCTAGGACTAGAACTTCACCTTTATCCTAACCCAAGTCTAGTTCTTTTTTTTTTTTTTACTAGGATTACAAATAAATTTTCCAACACAGGGAATCCACAAAAGAAACGAAAAGTTTACCTGTGGAGCCATTTCCTCCACAGGTAAACTTCGCTTTTAAAGTGACAGGTTTACGACAAATTTATGAAGTCTTAAGGGGGCGTTTGGTTTAGGGAATGTTGGATTACTGAAATCTTATATTACCTTGAAGATTACTATGAATCTTTAGGAAAATGTGTTTGGTTAGTTGGTGGATATGTTATATTTATATATTTGGTTAGGGAAAATAAATTGGTGGGTATGTTATTTAAATTACTAAATTGCCCTCTTTTTAAATATTAATATAATATTATTTTTATTATTAATTTTTGAATAATTTTTTTTAACCCCAAATATTTCAGATTTAGCTAAAACACACCCGCTTATATAAAACTTTAATTTATGACAAAATCACCTTCACTCCCTGCCACCACCGCCAGAAGTTTCTGAAAGTCGTCTTGAGTAGCTCACCGTGACCACGAGACTTTGATATGGTTGTTTCTGGTCATATTGATGGGCAGATCTATTCTAGCCATTTTCGGCCAGATTGATGGATCTCGCCATGCCATTATCGCCCAGATTTGGCCGCTAATGGCCAGGGATCTAGCCTGATATGGCTGTTTTTGGCCATCAATATGGCCAGAAACGACAATAGCGAAGTCTCTCGGAGCCTCCCAGCGAATTTCGGTCATTTTCAGGGACTCCGATGACTTTCCAACGGCAATCCATGGTGGTTGGCCCGTTGCCGGCAATGGTGGCTGGGTGGCAGTGGTGGTCTGTAATTTGATTTAAATATAAGGGCATTATTATCCAAAAATTTAATTAAACAAGGGTAAAATTGAAATGGTATATTAATGTAAAGTTATTTTAAAACAAGGGTATTATTGTCCAAAATTTTTATTAATAAGGGATAGAATTGTAACAAAAATAAGATTACCTTGATAATCTTACAATACCTAAAAAAATAGAAATAATCAGATAACCTTCAATATTACCAACAGTAACAACTACTAGTAAAGCAAGATTACTAGAATCTTATATTAGTTAACAACCAAATATGGTAATCAAGTAATATAAGATAACATAACCTCAATAATTTTCTATTACCTCTAACCAAACGCCCCATAAAGGATTTTAGAGAAAATTGATAATGATTTATGATTTATGATTTAAAGAAAATTTAAGAGGAATTCTAAAACTAGAGAAATTTTTGTATAAAATTGAGCGCTAACTCTCATTTCTTATTGAATTAACCCTTCTATTGGATTCAATAAATTTCATAAATTATTGACATATTTCACTTTGTTATATTATGAGAATAAATCATGCTCCTTTTGTTCGAGGTATTTGCACTGTAAAAAAAGAAATCTGGGAGGTGTTGCTCAAATCAGGTCTGGTACTATATGTAAAATAATTTCATGAAAAGGACAGGATAAAAGATTTCCAATGAAGATATATAAGGTCGATGAATTTACTATGCAGTTATATAAAATAGATATGAATGAATTGTTCTTCCGTTTCAGGAATTACAAAAGAATTACTTATGAAAAGAAAGAGTTTGGCAACAGAGATAGACCAATATGGATGGACTCCACTTCATTATGCTGCATATTACGGTTGTTTTGACATTGCAATGTTGCTTTTACACTCTGATACATCTGCTGCATATGTTGGTGATAAAGAACGAATGATGACACCTCTTCATATGGCAGTCAGCCAAACACATCCTTATCCTGGTTGGGCACCTAAGAGTCACAGAGCCCAGCATGCAAAGATAATAACAGAAATTATATCCCGATGTCCAGATTGTTGTGAAATGGTTGACAGCCAGGGATGGAATGTTCTTCACTTTGCCATGACTAAGTTAACAGTTAAACAGTTGAATACTTTGCTAAGAAATTCAATTTTAAGGGATCTTATTATTGAGAAGGATACCAAAGGAAACAATCCTATCAATGTGCTAGCCGCATGTCGTCCAAGGGTAATCCCTAAAATACTGAAAAGCTTTACAGGTGTCAGATACCGTTATGCCAACAACAACAAAGCTTATTATCTCGATGGCGTGCAAGAAACCGAGCATCTTCAGCTACAGGTACTAAATTAATACCCTAGCCTTTTAAGTTGGTATTATAGATAGAATTACTCTCTTCCTCACATCACTTTAGCTACACTTTGTGCTTGATTTTGGAAGGTCATGCTTGGTTTCAATAAATTGATTAATTTATGTACACCATTTATTATATTATCTCATTATTTAAATGTATAATTTTAAAATATATTGTCATGTAATTAATTTATAAAAAATGCATATAGACAAGTTTCTTTTATATATATATATTTCTTTGACGGGTATTACCTGTCAAGAATGGGGTACATTTAATAGAATTTTAACCAAATCTTTAACAGTTAACTAAATCCTTGACAGTTATTAAACTGTCAAGTATTTAGCAGAATTTTAACCAAATCTTTGACAGATAGTTAAATCCTTGACAGTTCAATAATTATCAAGGATTTAGTCGAATTTAAAATTTTTTTTTTTTAAGAATTTTAGCCAAATTGTTGACAAATTTCACACTATCAAGATTTCGTTTGTTAACTTTTTCTTTTAATTAGTGAAATTTCTTTATTATTACATATTAAATTATAGAATAGTCGAATGAAATGCTTCATAATATTATGACCATTCAACAATATGTATTGAGACATCGAACAATTGATCGAATAGTAAATATATTATCGTTGCTCTGGTAAAACAAAATTGAAAAACAGTATAAATTTTACAATATTGCAAAAACAGTAATGAAAAGTTTGATACATATATAGATAGAACCCAAATTTAGGCAGCAGTATGTAAAGAAATACAAGGGATATATTTTATCAGTGACCTACCCTTACATGAAGAAATTTAAAATCACAGTACGTTTACTCATCTGACTCCTAAGACATGGAACAATACACTTCTTACAATTGAAAGCAAGAGATGCTTTAGCTAGACGCCGCTTCTCGTCAGGGGTCAAATTCACACTGCCAGTATTAGGACTAGTTTCCATCTACATAAGAAAAAGATAAAGCAACCTTACATTAAGAAACTTCACGAAATCCAGAAAAACTTCAGATACGCTTCTACAAAAAAAGTTGTTATAAAAGAGATTTCAGTTAAATTTGATTGAGATGCGCCAGCTTAGGCTTCAATTTGACAAAGGGAGGTCTAAGAGATTTCCAATTTCAGTGCAAACATAATCAAGTCCTAGTTAGCAGCTAACTAAAGTTATTAATCTGTACAAGTGAAAGAACATAGTGTAGTTCAAAGCATTTCCTAGAAACAACCCTGTAAATCATTCATTTTAAAGCTTCAAGCATGCCATCATGGCATAAAAATGAGGCATTGATAAGAACCCACTCCAAAACTCAACAATTTGGGCTAGGTCATGGGTCTTTCATGGACTTGGATAGAACTCTCCTTGGAAAACCGGCTTGCCAAGGGAGGGTGCCCAAGCCTTTATAACCCACATGCCCACCCTTTTCCCTTTCAATGTGAGATCCTAACATTCCATCACGCTTCCGCAACCGACATTCACGTCGGCCTCTTTACCCTTGTTGGTCTCTTTACCCCTTGGGTGACTACGCGGATCCCCTTTCCCTCGGGCCTCTATACCTTTTCTTGGGGTAGTAGCCCCGGTCCAAGGGCAGCCTGCCACGCGTACGTTGTCACATAGGCATAGGATCATGCTCTGATACCAATTGATAGGAACCCACTCCAATAACTCAACAATTTGGGCTGGGCCATGGGTCTTTTATGGGCTTGGGTAGAACTCTATTTGAAAAATCGGTTTGCTGAGGGAGGGTGCTCAAGCCTTTATAACCCACATGCCCACCTTTTTCCCTTTCAATGCAGGATCCTAACAGTCACCGAAGCAACTCCTCATACCTGAAGTTTAACCTGAACTCTCTTTTTGGGTATCTTCCAAAAAGTCGAGATCTTCCTCTGACAAATTATTTGATTTATGTCCAATGCCTTGCTATCATGACTTGCGGCTTGAACCATTACTTTTCCTTTGTTCTCAGATAAACGATTACTGTTTCGAAGTAAGATTGTTAATTTTCTCCTAGACAATCTTTTTCTCCTAAATTTTTTACTTTAAGTCCTGGACAGTTTTGTGAAGCACACTTCATCATCTTTATCCATCCAATGGTATTGACATTAAATTTAACTAAATTTATCTTCTATCTTATCACTGTTGGATTATAAAAGATAAACTGTTCTTGTTTAAATTAAGTCAAAAATTGAAATCACAGTATCTCAACCCTTTATATTGAATTTTACCATAATATCTTAATTTGAACAGTTTTCCTAATATTTCTTTGAATAATATTCAATATGTATTACAGCAAGAAATCCTAAAATTGTCAACTTTTAATGGTATTGGACCATATCGACATGGAATTATTCGTAAAGATTCGAAGTGGATATTCGAAATGCTCCCTAGATATGAGAAAACAACAGATACCGAAATGGTGGTTGCTGCACTCATAGCAACAGTAACTTTCACAGCAGCTTTAACAATGCCCGGCGGCTATAAAAGTGAAACAGGCACCGATCAAGGCACGGCATTGCTAAGTAAAAAAGCTGCATTTAAAGCTTTTATTATAACAGATGCTATGGCCATGGTATTTTCCCTTTTGGCAGTCAGTCTCCACTTCTATTCATCATGGAACCTGCACAAACATTGGCAATATCGTAAGCAGACCCGTCCGATCATCACGTGTGCGATAATGTCAATGGTGGTCGCTTTTTCTACAGGCACTTATGCGGTATTATCACCTTCTTTGGGGATTTCCATTGCCACTTGTTTAGTCGGCTTAAGCTTCTTCGTCCTGTTTATTTGCATAGACATCAGGTTGACGAGGAAGGGGGTTAGAATAAATAGAGCTTAATTTGCAATAGTGAGAAAGCTCAATGATGTTGTTGTCCTACATTTGCAATTGTATTTTGTTATAATAATCGAAAGAAAATGTTAAGAGGTACCCTTTTGGAGTTATGTTTCATTGCAATTTACAGACTGATGCGACTGGTAAAATAAAAAGACTAATTGATCAGTTTCTTCTCTATCATCATTTATAGTTAGCTAACTATATTTTGATAAGATTTCAGCTATCATACTTGGAAGGTATTGATGTCTTTTATTATTATTTCTCATTGAATATTATCAGTCTGCGTATTGATGTCTTTTATCCCCATAGAATGCCTAACAATTAGTTAATGGTCCTCTGGTGAAAACTTTGGGCATTTAACAATTTTGAAGTAGTATGCTTTGTTTCCATGGAGATCATTGATTTCTAAGAATTTTTTTAATGGTATGTTTCGAATGTGAGTGGAATATTGGTTCTGCGATTAGATATAATATGTGTGCGAATGGATGTTGACTTTGTTATAAAAGAGTGTAATTGATTGCGCTTACTATATGTATTATAAAATCAACTTTGGCAACTTAAACCTAATAAACTAATCAAAATATATACAATAACTACACAACTGCTTAAAACTGATAAAACCAGTCAAAATATACAAATTACCCCTCCTAAAGACAGATATATTATGATAAAGATCAGAGATCAGAGAGAGATCAGAAATGTTTTGTTTAAGAGGGGATATTGAGTAAAGCCTTAGTTTAGTTCTAATTTTGTACAACCTGGTTTAGTTTGTAGAAGTCTGGGGTGTGAATGTAAGAATGCAAAGTTGGCTTGGGTTATTTTGAAAACTCAGAGAGTTGTGTAAAACGGTGCGTTTTAGCGACTAACAGGTAATATAACAATAGTTGCGCGCTTTTTCAACATGCAATGAAAAACTTTACCAAAGTAGCAAAGTCGGTTATGGAATTTCTCTCTCAATTCACTCTCTGCAATTCTTCTTGTTTTCTTGAAAATCTTCATGGTATCAGAAACTCAAACACCCATCAATGCCAAATTTGAATCCTGATTTTCAAATAACATCTCTAAAGCAGACATGGAGTAGTTTGGAGACACAAAAGCACAAACCCAAGCAACTCAACCTTCACTCCCTACGCTGACTATGAAACTGACAGATAAGAACTACAATTATTGGCTTTCGCAAGTTCTACCTGCACTGATATCTCACAGATTGGATGGCTTTTTAACCGGTGAGAATTCCTATCCTTCAATCTTTCAATTTGAAAAGTTAGAAGGGAATGAAGATTTGATTAGGAAGTCAAACCTCAAGTATTACATGTGGAAATGAACTGACCAATTCTTGGCGAGTTAGTTAATCTCATCTATCTCTGAATCGATGTTTAGACATGTAGGAAAGTGTCACAGTGCGTATGAAATTTAGAACACTTTGGAATTGTATTTTCAATCCTTCACAAAAGCAAGAACTTTGTATCTGAGAAATTTGTTACAAACAACTAAGAAGGAATCACAAGTGTTTATGAATATGTTTTGAGGATGAAGGAATCAGGAGACGAACTACTTGCAAATGGAGTAAACATTGATGATGAAGAATTATTTTTATACATATTGGATGGTCTTGGACCAGAATATGACAATGTTGTCACAAATCTTCAATCGAACAGTAATTGTGCTGCACTTCAAGAAGCCCAATTCCTTCTACATAACATGAAATGCGTTTAGAAAGACAACATGGTGCAATGTTGAATTTTCATGAGCATTTATCCTTTGTTTTAATAGCATCTAGACAAAAGCCATCTAAGATTGCCCCAAGTTTATCTCTTCGTCTGGAACGCCTTTACAATACTCCTCCAGTGGTGTTCAATCGGCTGCCTCAGCTTATCCCAGTGTTGTGCCTCAACAAGTCCAGAATAATGTTGTTGAAACTCCTGTACTTCCTTAGTACATTGCAGGAAATCAGATGTCAGGAGCTTTTATTACTGAACATAGTAGATTTCCATATAATCCTAATTCATAGTTTGTTCCTAGAGGTGTTCCCTTTTTCAACAAAGGAAGAGGAAAAGGTAGAGGTTATTTTAAGCCAAGATTGGTATGTCAGGTGTGTAGTAAACCAGGGCATTCAGCACTGCAATGTTACCATCAATTCGACCATGATTATCAAGGGTTCACAGCAGCCAATTCCAATTATGAATACTGAGGCCATAATCCACTTGATTCTTCTTTCTTGGTGAAGCCAAATGAACCTGTCCAAGCCTTATTTGCTTCAAACTCTGTGTCACCAAGGAATGTTCATAACTTAGTTGCTAGATTTCATGATTACTCAGCTTATGGAAGTCCATCATTGGCCCAACAATTTCCTAGTCAATTCTTTGGTTTTTTGGTCCTATGCAATCCACATCAAATTTATCTTCATATCGCCACCCCTCTAATGATACACCTTATGGCTCAGCCTTCAACACTGGTCATTCTGGATCCTCATCTTTGAAACTTCCTTTTGATGGCAGCTCATCTTTAAAAGTTACTGGACAACTTGTCGCCACTCCTCAAACAATTACAATCAGTCATGGTACATGGATTCAGGGGCTTCAAATTATATGACGGCTGATCTCTCAAACATGGTGGTGAAGTCAAGCTATCCTAGAGCCTCTAAGGTACAAGTTGGTAATGGAGACTCATTACCTATCACTCACACAGGTATAATGATGCTGCCTTCTTTTGATTCCCATAGAATTGTACAACTTTAGAACATACTATGTGTTCCTAAGATAGCTAAACATTTGCTGAGTATTTCACAAATTACCAAAGATAATAATGGGATTGTTGAATTCCATGTTGAATATTGTTTGGTAAAGGATATGAGCAGCCAAGTTGTGTTTCTTCCAGGCTTAGTTAAAGATGGCCTGTACCAGTTTACTATTCCAACCAATACCTTCAAGAAGTCTTTTTCTTCTCTTAGTGCCTCCACCAAAATAAAGTTTGTAGCTTCAACTTCAAGGCTTTCTTCCTTACCTGTAGGAGATTCATGTTTAGTTCAAGATGTTTCCAAGGCTTTTACTAATGTAGCTCATAATGTTTTTGATTATAATCAGACACCTGTAGCTTTTGATTCTGTCGTGTTATGGCATGCCAAATTAGGGCATCCAAGTGCTAAGAGACTTTGGTCTATTTTAAAGAAAATAAATACAAAGTTTTTGGTGAAAGTAATAAAGATTTCTTTTGTGAAGCTTGCAAGTTTGGTAAACTATAGTAGTGTCATTTTCCTAATTCTACCTCAAAAGCAAAAGTTCCACTAGAACTCATTTATTCTGATTTGTGGGGACTAGCTGATAAACCTATTTTTCCCTATGATTTTGCATTGAATTTGGATAGGATTTAGGATACTTCTCATACAATTTGGGCCATAATTGCCACCTAATTCTATTAATTTTTCTTTGCAGGCCTAAACAATGATTTTGAGTTAAAATGATAGTTTTGAGCATAAATTGCGTAACTTCAGCTTGGAAACTTAGAATGACCTGAATTTAGAAGCTTTGGAAACTAAGAAGCATAGCTACAACTTTCATGTTTTGGGTTTTTCCTAATTCTTACTGGACGAGGATGAAAACTTGGCTTGAAGTCGTGAACAATATGTTGGGAACTGAAGAAAAACGTCTTTGGATGTGCTTCAGTATTTTGGATCTAACTTGAGCTTTGGACCTTGTATTGGGCTGATTCTTGAACTATAGAAAGATAATTGAAAGGGATAAAATTAATATGTTACCACTTTTCTAGATTCAGATTCTATCATGCTCAAATTTGGCCTGAAATATCCTTGCCGTGGCAAGGAAAAATTTCACCATGGCGAAACTGCATTAGATGTGAAAAATAAAACGATGCATTTTGGCTTGCTAGGGCTTCATCCTTAAGTGAGGGAGATATAAATTAGCACAAAAAGGAAGGGAAAAGGGTATTGGTTCGTCATTTGGGAGGTAGCTCATGGAATGAGAAGATTATTGAAGATTTGAGCTTCAAATTAGAGAAGATTTCTCCATCTTTTGCTTGTTTTTCAATGATGAACCTTGATTTAGTTTGTTTCTGTTATTTTATTTTGTTGTTGAGTATGAACTGAGTTGTTTAGCTAGGGTTTGATGCAACCTTAATACAATGATTCAAATTTGTATGAATTGATTTACTTTGTGTTTTAATTTCATGATTGAGTGTTTATCTATTTGCTTAATGATTTTTGGATGCTTGATCACCATTCAAATGTATGTTGTTCACAATGAGATTGAGAAGTGATTTGTAATTGTGCCTCTTGGGATAAATACCATAGATTGAGCGAAAACTAGACATAGATAAACGCGATCTATGAAAGTTAGATAGAATTTCACAAAGCTTAAGAGACTTTGAACTATTAATCTTCATTTTGTTGGGTGTGGATGCTTAATACGGATAAGTAAGAAAATATAGCCTGAAAAGGTATGTTTTACAACTTAGGGAATTCAATTTTCAATCAAGGAATTAGAACTTGGGTAATAGATTCTATGATTTGGGTTAGTGTATCTAGGTGAAATCAACACCTAGCATTTTTAGCATTGTTTAATTAGTTAAGTTGTTGGTTTTGCTTTAATTTCATCATCATTCATTTATATTTTGTTAATTTGTATTTAGTTTGTTAATTTTCCATCAATCCAATTTATTGTTGCTTCAATTAGGACTTAAACGAGAGAAATCGGTACTTAGTAACACTATCCTCATGGGAATGATACTCTACTTATCACTTTATTACTTTTTGCGACTATTGCACTTGCTACATATGAATGTTTATGAAAACACGCATCACCAGCTCCTATGTTGTCAAGTGAAGGATATAGATATTATACAATTTTTGTTGATGACTACAATCAATATACATGGATTTACCCATTGAACCTCAAATCTAAAGCTTATAATGTGTTTACTCAGTTTCATGTATTTGTAGAAAATCAACTAGGGAATAAAATTAAGTGCCTACAAATAGATTGGGGGTGGAGAATTTTGACCTTTTTCTAAGTATTTGTAGCAACATGGATTTCAGTTTAGGAATCCCTGCCCTTATCTCCACCAACAAAATGGGAGAGTGGAGAGGAGACATAGATCAGTTGTCAAATTTGGATT